CCAAATTTGATTTAACACGCGAAATATACTAAAATTTAAAAATAATAATATTTAAAAATAATTTCCTTTGTTACATATAATTTAACTAGAACACTTTTCCCTTTAAATCTAAAAATCTAAAGATTAAATTAAATTCTGACAATTTTATTTTTTTTCCACCAGACCGTCTGTCTGCGTTTTGCTTTTGTGGAGCCGAAACTTGACTGAGTGCCTCGTTTTGTGACTGTTCCTCTCCATAAGCATCCACAGCAGTACTGTGCAAAGGGTGATCTATAAAGAACAAAGAAATAAACTGTATGAACACTGCTCCCATCCTTTAAGGCAAAGAGAGTGCTCTGCCCGCCATTAAGCATTTAGCTGGAGTATTTGTCGTTTGCTAACTAATAAAATAAGTTCTCATTACAAGTATTTTTTGAGGATTATGAAAAAATATATAATGAAAGGTTTCATAGTTTCTGTACTCATCCACCTGCTACTTCTTTATGAGCCCACACCAAAGGCAGCTCAGCATGTACACATGGCATAGAGCAAGCAGAATACTTGATACAATTTCTTTCAAGTCTCTCTTCGCTATGACATACGTTAACCTTCTACACAATTAAACAACTACTTTCTTTTTTTTTTATAATATAGATTTTAAGCTGCCTTAGTGGATACTATGAGAAGGCAATTACTGCTGCTACAGAATATTTGTAAATGTAGAATTCTTGAAGGTAGCTACCAAAATAGATTGGAACTCTGAGAAATTGAAGGTTTTAGCATGCCTTCCACAGTATAAATTTCTTTTTTCAAGCACACTGCCACAAAACTTTTGTGTTAGTTTACATTAGTGTCAACAGGAATCCTTTTTGCAGTCTAAATACACACCACAGAAATAAGGAAAAGAACTTTTCATTTTGCTAAATTGTTTTTTATAGCTCATTGTCAATGCTGTTCCCAAGTTACATTTATATTTCCATAATTTTCTCAGAGTAATAACTATTACAGTTGAGAAATAGCTCTTAACATTTTCTCTACAGTTTCTAATTACACTGGTTTAAAAAAAATAAAAAATGTACAGGTAAGATATAGCAGAGGACTCCACACAGAGGAGCAGCTACACCATTTATAGTGATTCTTTTCCTGTGTATTGAGGCCTCATTACACAAGTCAAATATAAAGCATGGAAGTGGTTTTAATCCTTCACCAAAAATTGTATGGCTTAATGTTATTTTTTTAAGTAACATCTGAAAGTGGCAGAACAACTGCAAATGTCCAAGTTTCCTGCCATGAATACTCTTACAATGGCAAAAATGTCACTTCATAATTTGTGTAATGTAATAAAGAATAAATTAAGATATTGAACTTTGGTTTTTAACTGTATGTTATTGCACACCAGCAGTATTATGATATGTGAAATTCTACATTCAAACTATAAACGTGGAATAGCTGGCATTTTGCCACTGACTTTAATTTGCACATACTACAGTATTATTCCTGTTACTTCCTAAATTATAGAAAATAACACAAAATACCATCTGTCTGTCCTCTCCATTACTTTCTCTTGCAAAGAACCAAAACCTTTCCCTAGGTAAGCACCTGAAGTATTCTGCCCATGTAGTTGGTTTGTGAAAATCATACATTAAATGGCATTCAAGACAATACTAACCAAAGGAATCATTAAGGTCCTCAAGTTGATTTGTTTCTGCTACCTTCAATATCCTTGAGACATCTGGCTCCTCAAGTGAAAGTGATTTCCAACGAAGATTGGAGTTGGCTTTGTGCTTCTGGATAGGTATGAAATTAACAGCCAGTTTATGCAGCTCTTTGAGATTAAATATGACAATGAATTTCAAGATCATTTGGCTAGAAGTACACTTAACCAGAACTATATTGACTCCTTAGCTATGGCATAAGGATTTGAAGCATATTTTTGTCTCAGGCTATGGGGGTTTTCCCCTAAGAGAACTGATGGTATAAAATGTGTATGTTCTGCTATTTGATACTGTGTTCTACTGCAAGTTTGTCTTATTTCATAAAAGTGTACAAGCTTAGAAATATTACAACCCTCTAATACCTGCTTTCTATGATCTGTAGTCTTTTTCTTTTCAGGCGTTAAAATATTTCTTCTTTCATCTCTATATCCCAGAAATTTCCACCCTTTCCCAATTTAACTACTTTCATCTTAAAAAACTGAAAAACTAAAGTGGAATTTATAAATCAAGGATTACAGAGACACTTCTGTAAAGCAGAAGGGTAAGGGAGAATGACACAAGTTTATGAAACAGTTGTGGAAACAGTTGTGTGCCGTTCACAAAATGCGCAAGTGACTTTCCTCACTAATTTCTGTGTGTACTTGCAGGGTGAATTATAACCAGAAAAGACTGACCTCTGTGGCTTTTTAATTTTATCAGTGCTTAGCAGTGCTCCAGTATTTCTATTATAGGATCAAATATACACATACTTTTTCTATAAATTGTCTTTTATGAGACTGTTTTTAAACTTTTGCCTTTTCGAAAGTCAATGTTCCATTTTGCACTACTCCTAAAATGAAAAAGAAAACCCCACACCAGCACCCCAAGCCCGTCCCAGCAGGGCCTGCACAGCACTTCCCTGTGCCAAGCAAGTCTTGCGTTAACCCCTATGCATCCATCTCCAGAGACAATGCCTCGACTGCACAGTAGCACAACACAGCATCACCGGATATCCTGCACTGGAAGGGATCCACAAGGCTCTGCACAGGACACCCCAAGAGTCACAAGTACTGTCCGAACAGTCCTTGAGCTCTGTCAGGCTGCTGCTGTGACCACTTCCCTGGGGAGCCGGGTCCAGTGCCCAACCACCCTCTGGGTGAAGAACGTCTAATATCCAACCTCAAACTTTCAGGCCTTGGTCCCCTCACTGGTCACCGAGAGAAGAGGCCAGTGTCTTCCCCAGGAATCCCCTCGGTGAGGAAGCTGAGACCACGATGAGGTTTCCCCTCAGCCTCCAGCTGAAGAGACCAAGGGACCTCAGCCGCTCCTCACACGGCTTCCGCTCAAGGCCCTTCACCTTGCCCTCCTTTGAACACTCTCTCTACAAAACCAAAACACTGGCTGTTTGGATTCTGCCCAACCTAGCGAAACTTACCTCTAGCTTGCAGCTGGTATGATTCTTCTTTATTTTCTTCTTTGAGGACATTTTGCTGTTTAGTATATGCTGCAGAATACAAAACCGAGGACGAAGTTAGTGAAAAAGATACAAATCGCCTTTCTTAACGTCTGTACTTGGGAGAGAACGGGAAATCTTTGTTCAAACTATTTTTGTTACTTCATACTATTATGGCCAGCTCACTCCAAAAGCGGTAAAGCTCACTTCTTCAGCCCAGGCCGACGTAGAAGTTATGTATGTACGGATGACGGATGTATGCAGCACGTATCAACGAGCCGGGCATATGAAGAAGATAAAGCGCGACGCTGCAGCTCACGCCTGTACCGCGGCTCCGCTGCCGCAGGACCCCGTCTGCTCCGGGCCGGCCCCTCAGGGAGCCTCCCGCTTCCCGCCGCCTTTGGAACCGCGCGCGCCGCCGGCGGGAAGGAAGGGGAGGGGCGGGGAGGAGCCGCCGGCCGGAACGGGAAGCGGGACGGCGGCGGGACGGCGGCGGGACGGCGGCGGGCTCGCCCTGCTGGAGTCAGTTCAGCGTCCGAAAAATTCACCGAACCAGCGCTCTCCTCCGTAGTGTTCTATGAATGGCTCTGATTAAATACAAAAAACAAACCACAAGAACGTCCCCTTTTCTTCTCCCCTCCCTTTCCCTTTAACTGACGCTGTGCAGCTGGAAAAGCAAGCGAAAGAGATCGCTTCTGCAAAGATAAAATACAAGCTGTGGTCAGAGACAGCACATTTAACAGCAAATTAATTTGAACAGCACAAAATAAAACTTGCTTTAATAGCGTACCAGACAAACAAACAAACGAAGTAGGCTCTTAAGGTTTTCGAGCTAAAATTTCATCTCTGGCAATTAAATTGTTAGATGAGATTCAGCAATTTGTCAAGTCTCGTCAGCCGGAGGGGCCCTTTTGATACCACACCTCCTTATACACTGGTGGTGGTGATACACTGGCTTTAGCCAGAAAAATATACTAAAACAGTGAAATAATCACTTCAGGCTTAAGAGGTGGTAAGTTCTTTTTTAGACTATGTTGCTGGCTATAGCACCCAGCCCCCTGAGCCACTAATAAGACAAACAAATTTGTTTCTGTAGTGATAGATGGCTTCTCCAGAAAGGTTTCTCAAATAGAATGTTGTTAAGAACATAAACCTTAGATCCAGTTTTCATCCATCTCTCAGCTCTCTCTCCAGTATGAGACACAGTGACACTTCCCTGCCTTTCCAAGCAGCTTAGACACACTGATTTTTAGTGTGTTATTTAATTAAGTGACAAATTTGGTTTAGGTTTCCTTCGCTATGGAATAAAGGAACATACAAAATTACTTAAGAGGGGAAACTCTACAGTGACTAGGAACAGAAGTTTGCTTAGTATCTTGAATTGACATCTGTATTCACATGGAACTTTAAATAGTGTCTGGGTGGTAGTGCTTTCTCTACCCTGGTTTGGTAACTCTGTCCCTGAAATCTCTCCAGCTGTACCCTGGGGATGTTTGGATTTAATAAATGCATGGAATAAGGAAACCCACTACCACACCAAGGTAGAGTTTCAGAAAACTTAACTGAAATCTAGTCATCTGAGATGATAGTAAGAACACAAGTGTCAGGAAAAAGGCAAAAAAAAAAATTAAAGATTTGCATCGTTGTAGTGTACTGAAAGAGCAAGTTACATACAACAGCATCCTTTTCTTACTAATATCGACCAACACCTTAAACATAAAAAGTCACTTTCCAAAAGTAAAAAGTGTAAACAACCAGCCTTGTACTGTATTTAGTATGGCTGTAGCAGCAGAGTTTTACAGGTTGTCTGTTAGAATATTACTCAGGCTTGTTATTCAGCAGCATTTTTCTTGATAAACAAACACATCACACCATTGAAATGAAGAAATATTTATTTTGGTTTCCTTCATTGGTTTTGAAAATTGTTTTGGTTTTAAAAAACATAGAAATAGCCAACACTAAGCAAACATTTGAATTTCAATGTAACAAACTACTGCTCTAACAGTTGACTTGGATTTGTGTACCTGAATTGCATACACATGAAATTATGCTACAGAGTAGTGCATTACAATCACACAAATCTTAGTGCAAACCTTGTTGTGCTTGTATTTTACATAGATCCACGTTTTCAAAAAACAGCAATGAATGTTAATGCAAAACCAACTCTGTTAAGGATAGCAAAAGACTGATGCTGTAATAAGGCTTATTTCTGCTGATTTTTCAAACAAAAGATAACTAGTTATTATTTTTCAATTTATCTGGGAATTAGGCTTTTATCCCTGAACAAATGCCTATCCTGGGCCAACACACAGTTCTGTTGGCATGTATAAATAGTTCCAATTGCTGCAAAGCATCAGGCAAAAACATTCTACCTGACCTATTTTGTTATTCGGTGAAGAGTACTCAGTGGCTCATACATAAAGCACAGAAAACAGAGGTTATGTCAGAAGCTCTTCCACTTACAGAGGGCCTGGCACATTTTTATAAAATGCATTTTAATTACAAGTTCATTACAGGGAAACAAGTGTCTGGTACAGGTGCAGTGTTTACCCTGACTGTTAGCATAGCCCAGCCTCCTGATTTGGTTTTTAGGTCTCTAGTGTTCTTGCCAGAGTTACAGGGCTGGTGCCACTCCTGAATCATGCTAATGTAGCAAAGGCTATACTTGCTGAATGAACTGCACCCACACAGTGCAGAACCACCATATGCAGACTTTGAGGAACTTCTACTCATCAGTCTTCTTTGTGTGGAGTGCTGACTTCTACCTTATAGAAGTACATCCCATAACCGGCTGCAGATGTAGAAGGGAGATACAGCTCAGATGCCTTGCCCCAGTTAATACTGGGACTAACAAAAGATGTGATACCAGCTATGCAAACTGTAAGGGTTTGGGGCTTTTGGTGGTTAGGTGGTGGGGTTTTTTGAACAGATTAAGTAATTTTTCTGAGGATGCAAGATACTTAGAGGCATTTTCAAAGCTGCCAAATCCTTTGTGGAATTGACAACTGCAAAACACACTGCAGACAGCAAACATGCTGGCAATAAAACCTTAGCTCCTTGGAGAAGGTGAGTCCCATTTTCAACCAAGGAAATATTAAATAACTTACATATAGTTACCATTTATAGTTAAGGCTCTTTTTGGAAATTGTAGGTCACCATAAAAACAGTATGCAACACGACTTGACAGTAAGGCAGTGTTCCATTTTCTTCAATGTTCCTATGGCAAGTACCCATTTTTGTACAAGTTAATGATTGCACAGTTTCCTTCCCTATTTTTGCTGTAGTCAAAATACAGATATGAAGGCCAACAGTAGACAGACATGTGCCACTTTCCTCATTCCATTTGCAGTTACATTTTGGCATTAGCATAGAGTTCATCTATCTGTGACTGGAAGTATTTTCGCAGTTCTGGTCTCTTCGCCTTCAGTGTTGGTGTCAACAGGCCGTTTTCAATAGAAAACATTTCAGTGTGCAGGACAATGTCTTTCACCTGGAAAACAAAAAAGTATTAGCTAAACTGTATTCCTTGAAATAGACAAGACTATTAAAAATATGCCCAGACATCATAACAAAGCCCATTGCTTGAGAAGTTTTTCAGACACAAATTAAAAGCAGTTTCTGAAGAATCAGATAATATTAGTGTTGAGAAGTACAAAGAATTAGGTATTTCGTTCCCACAAGCATCATACCTGTTCAAATGACTTCAAACCAGATTCTTTCCCAATTCTCACCATGTCTTCCAGAATGTATTTTTTTACATCCTGTGGATACAGAAATACATTGTACAGCTTCATGCTTGCATAAGGAGCAACTTGAAAAAGTTGATGCAGAACAGCTAACTGTTCAATTAGATATGCCTTGCCTTGTTGCCGCATAGCTCTTTATAGGAGCCTTCAAATCCCTTCTTCTTGGCCCAGTTGTGCAGAGTATCAGGATCGGGTACCACAACAGCTACTAAGAAGGCCTAAAAAAAAGGAAAAAAGCTTGACAAAAATTCTTAAGTCAACACTTTAGTTCCTACACATTTCTTTGGGGAGCATTTCTGATCCTGATGTAAAGTCAGCAGCTTTCTGCTACCTGAACACAGGAAGCACATTTAGAACTGAACTGAAAGAATTAAGACCCACATTTCTCTTTACAAAACCCCCAATGTATTCAGGTTCTTTCTTGGTGTGTGTGGGTTTTTCTGGTTTTGTTTGTTTTTTGGGATTTTCCCACGGGACACTGTTAGCAATTTATATACAGTCATTAATATGCAAATTAGTTCAGCTCCACTACCTGGTGTAAAACTAAATCCAAAAATATGCTACCTGACTGCTGGAATCCAATCAGAACTAAAATGCAAAATTATAAAAGTTTATGGGACAAATTTAAATTTCAGTCCCAAAGCTTGGGGAAAAGGAAGAAAGGAAGACTTTTCTGCAGTCTCCTTTTGCATTAACTTTTAAAATTACCTGAAAAATGCTTACCTGCAAGCTCTCTCCATGGACAAACACCTGTGCAACAGCTTCACATCTCAGATACACATTCTCTATTTTCTCAGGTGCTATGTACTCTCCCTGGGCTAGTTTAAATATGTGTTTTTTCCGGTCAATGATCTTCAATGTACCATTCTGTTGACAGAAATAACTTTCACTCAGAGGAGATACTTCAAGTACAAAACCAATCTACATACCTTAGGCATGCCACACTGGCACAGTAAAACTATGCCAGAGCCAGAGAACTGTCAAACTAATGTTAGAAGAGAACAGGTTATGTTTCCATCTAATTTAAACTGGGGAAAGCCTCAGAAATGGCACTGTCAATACTTTTTTAGGCCCAGGCACACAGATTTAGCTACAACAGTGATTATCCACAAATTCTTGTCTTTCACCTAACTAATTCTGTTTAATACCAAGTGTTTTCTAATATATTTATCAAATTTCTGCTAATAACTATAAAAGCATCATTCCAGCAATGTAAGTTAACTTACTGGTAGCCATTTCCCAATATCTCCTGTGTGAAGCCAGCCATCTTTGTCCAGAGCCTCTGCTGTTTTTTCTGGATCTTTCAGATAGCCACGAAATACATTTAGCCCTTTAATACACACCTGAAAAGAGCCATCTGTTAATATATGCTACAGTGAAGGAAAGTTAGCAATCACTACTATCAACAAATGCTTCCTCCAATAGTTTTCAACCCCCACTAAAAAAGGCAAGAGGAAGTTTGTGTTTGTACAAGAAATTCTACTCATGGTTTTTGGAGACCTAAAGTTTTCCATTGGTATGAAATATACTAAGAAGCAATTGGAAGGATCTATTCTCTTCCAGTCTAGAAGCAGTGTTCCTACCCACTAGTTGAATAATTGGAACCTATCAAAAAATTTGGTTTTATTTCTTTACGTGAAAAAGTTCTGCTAGATCCAGAAATACTCTCTCTCAGCCTGGCAACACATTCATTTAAGCTTTGGTAAACAGCAGGAGCATTGTGCTAAAAACTAGTGGAGTAAAAAAAGAAGTTGTGTACCAAGCAAGTAGCACTTTTGTTGTCCAAAAGTTAGGCTAGAAGGAATTACTAATTCAGCAATTGATTCTTGAAAAACTTTCAGTGCCTATCCAGGATGCTGGTGAACTGCAATACAATGAACGTGAGATGTCAACAGGAGGGAGATCAGAATATTAGTGAGGGTTCTGAGGACCTTATGGAGAAAGTACCAAACTTGGGACCAAACCAAAGTAATATTTTACAAAGCAAGCCATTTCTGTTCTAAAACAGACCTTGTCTGGAAGGATATGAATAAAAGAGAACTCTACATGTCCCAGTCAAGTCAAAGACTGACCAATCAAATGTTAATTTTTCACAGCTCCTAAGATCACAGGAAGGCAGTAGATGACAGCTTTTCCCAGTAGAGGCAGCCAACCATTTATCTGTATCCTCCTAGCTGGCACAAGAGCTCATCTGCATATGCTCATATATAATTCTATTCACAAATTTATTCTTCTTGACCGGCAAAAGTGAAAAGCAAGGCTGACAGAGCAGGGAATATTGCAAGGTTACTCTCAGTGAAGGGGACTAGAAATATTTAAACCAGATGAAAAGCAGAAAGTATTTATTTTAGGCAAATAGATAAAGAGCCAATTCCATGGCCATGGACTTTTTGAAGCAAGTTACACCATTCTGTTATATTTAGAATAGTTTATACTGAGGAAATTAGGCCTGAAAGACTAAGATGGCACCTGATATATTGAGGGGCTACAATTTCTATTCAAGTCTAAAGTAACTCCTAATGCAGCAAACTCACATTAAGTGCAAGCAAAACACTTTTAGGAGGGTTTTTTTTAAACTATTTAACTATTTCTTATTATAAGAATTTATACTCAGCTTCTCTAGCAGACCAAGCTTTAAGAATGTACTGAAAGTGAAGCAAAAATTGCTGATGAAGACTAAATATGGAATTATACACAAGACATTAGAATTTTGACATTGTTCTTCACTTGCAAGCAGTTTCCCACCACCAAGACTAAATAAATCCTTGAGTATTTCTGGGAGTTAAAGCAAATGATTTGTCTCTAGTCTCATAGAAATTACAACCAAAACAAATAAGATTATAAATCCTTTGTAGCTACAAATTAGTTACTTGCTTAAACTATTTTTAAGTTAAGTTTTCACTCCCTCAGCTGCCCCCACAGCCTCTTGAAAGCATATTAAAGACACCACAGTTAATCTGCTTTCGAAGCTTGGGGAAAATAAATTACTATATGAACACCTGTTTGAAGTACATACAAAGTTAAAACTGTTTATACTTTACTTTGAAAAAATACTTTAAAAGAAAGCATATAGCATCACATATAAAGCTGAGCCCTCAAAAGGCCCTTTATAAAATATACGTGTTCTATTTGTGCAGACTGCATAAAAAGTTTAGAAAAATTTGCAGGCAGGTATCACAAATCATCAGCAACTTTCATGGCACTTGATCTCAATTTCTCTTAGAAGTTTCCAAACACTTTAAATTACCTCATCTCACACATCACAAGCTAGGTGACTGGCTAAAGGCATCATCTGTTCTCTGGCCCTTGGCAGTGGAGTGTGAGGGAAGCCCTGTGCCAGCATTCTGCTGAAGGGTAGCTGCAGTATGAGGTAGGTGGCCACACTTCCCAGCTATTCCACAGCTGGAAGATGTTGCCTTGATCATACAACCTTATGTATGGTCATATAACCATGTGTTAGCCTGTGGGATAACAGATTACCACATAAACTCTTTCCTCTCCCCTCCCACATATTTCCTGATTTGCATCTGTGAATCACTAACTGGTATTGCTTGCAGGCATCTGAGATTTTAGGTAGCAGGCCATGTTTAGCACTTCTATGAAACTCAGTTACTTCAGGAACAAAAAAATAAACATTTTCCAAAATTTCCAAGAGACTCATATTGACTTTCTGAAATTACTTACCTCACCCTCTCCTTTGGCAGCCAAGTAATTCATTTCTTGTACATCAACAAGCTTGATGATATTGCATGGCATCGGTGCTCCAACATGACCTATTAAATAGAGTAAAATTTCAATAGCCTGATGCTTTTTAGTCAAATTCTGAAAAAAAAAATCTTCAGTTTACACACTGAAGAAAAATGGAAAACTGATTTCAGGTAGCTCAAATTTGCCAGGACTCAGCTATCCTAAGAATGTTACAAGCTGAACCATGTACTCCGGCTTGATTTTTCTTACAATCAGTATCCTCACTCTACAGACATATTTAAGTAGCTGAAGTGCCACTATAGTTTCCATTAGCAAGATTATGTCATTTAGGGAGCTAGAGATGCTAGGGAGCATCTCTACATTTAGGGAGCTAACAGCTGAGGGAAGTGCAGACTCTAGATTCCACCACCAAAAGATGCCATTTGTATTTCCAGCACTACACAGAAGATTCATGTTTGCTAGAAACTACAAAGGTTAATACTATGACCTCCCTTCTAAAGCTACTTCAACTTACAAGAACAAATCCTATTAGAAGTTTGAATTACTGAACATACATAGCTATTTAGGGGTAGAAACATCAAGGGATCCCTTCAAAGTTTTTTTATTTCGCTTGAAGAAAATCAATATCCTTTGTGATAGGCATTACTGAAGATTAAATAATGTAATTGGGGACCTCTAAAAATTTCAATAATCTTAAAATTTAACTGACCAGTAGACAGCTGAACATCATACCTGCTGTCCAGTCACCAGGCAATGACAGGGAGCATCCAGCTGTGCATTCAGTCTGTCCATAACCTTCATAGAACTAGAAGGTGAAATCAAAATACATTCTAAGACCACTACTTTTCAAGACAAAGTTTCTTCATTAAAATGCAATTACTATTTTGTTTCTTCTAATTGTTTAAATTTCAGTGCACTAAAACTCTCAGCAGCACCTTCTAAAAAAAACTTGAAATATTAGTTTTATCACAATATGCAATTTTAAGTGCTAATATTCACCTTCAGTTCCAATATTTACTCAAAAGTTTCACTCAGTTTCACACAGCATGTGACACCTGTTTAGATCAAAACAGAAAACAGCAGAGGAAGCAAGAAAGAAATGAAGAACCATAGCACTAGCAGTGACTTCATTCACATAATTTAAAAATAGGTTTATTTGAGACAGCCAGAAATGGAATCCCTATGTCCCATCACAGCTCTGTGACTGCTATACACAAGACAGGCTTCCCTTTTCTGTGCAAAACACATTGCTACACCAGCACACTACTGAAAACTTCAAGAAATTACAGAAGCCTGATATTTTACAGTATTAGTTTTCTATCCTTGAAATTCATTTAATTTCAACACATTTGTTCTATTCTATTCTATGCCATTCTTGTTCAAATTTTACCTCCACAAGCACATACTTTGAAGAGGCTCTGAAGATAAATTCAATGTGTGCATTCACCCCAGCCTCATCTTCAAAACAGTAACACCTCAATATTACCACATTGATTATTAAATTTTCTAGAGTAGTTACAAATACTTCTGTAAGCAAGGCAAACTCCAGAAACTTAAAGTAGGTAATTTATTGCTAACTGCAGCCCAACAAAAAAAAATTTTAAAAAAAATCTTCCCTCTAAGACAGGTCAGCAGGTTGCTCCAATTAAGACTTTGGGATGAATACAGAAATTTCAGGGGACTGAAAGAAACTCAGGAAAAGAGCGTGCACTTGTACAGTCTCCAAGAGTATTAAGAAGAGTTATCCATATAATTAGACTGCTAGAAAAGCTCTAACAAAGCTGGAGCCAGGTGCTAAAATATTTATGGTTTAGGACTAAGGCCAGGCAACTCACCTGACAGCCAAGAGCTGCTCTCAGGAAGGTCAGTACACTTGCAGACACAGGTGCTGCTCCTGTAACCATCAGCTTCACTCTTCCTCCCAAACTTGCCTACAACAGACACAAGATACTGTGGACACCAAAAGCATTCCAGAAAAATTTCCAGAGTTATCTTCTATGACACCCTTAGCCACTGCTCACATAAAGTGCCACCCACACATGTTTGAGAATAGAAGTTTAGTCTGCTAGGGCAAGGTGTCTTTCTTGCAGTGTTTTTAGTCTCAGTAATGGCTGGAAGATACAGAATCTCAAACATACAGTATCTGCACATGGTGTCACTGCAATGCAGACTCTGCAAGAAAGAGCTTAAGCCATGGCCTTACAGCAATGGCTTTATTTTTAACTGCCTTGTATCAGTTTCTCATACATCCTGAATGCTATAAAAAGCAGCCACATGGGCATGTTGTACAGCCAAGGTTAAGGCCATAGCAAGTGAGCATCAGATATAATAGCAGGCATGACTTACTAGTGACCAACCGGGAGAAGACAGTGGGGGCTACAGGTAGTGCTGTCTCATACTTAGCATTCTTCCTTCAGAAGGACAATGTTTGGTTTCAAAGGGGTAAAAAGGAAGCACCAAACTGTTTCAGAGTGACTTCCTTAATAGTTAACTGATACTATGAGAACTAAAGGAATTGAGAAAAAATCAGCTTGGAAATAGAAAGACAGCTCTGATTTTTGCTCTGAGTAGCCAGATAGTCTTAATTCAGTGAAAAAGCCATACCAGATTATAACTATTCGTATGAAATTCAATAACTTCAAAGTTCAACTTCAAGGTTTTCAAGCATACCTGTATTTTACGGAAGATGACTTTATCCCAGAAACTGTTATTTCTAACTATACCACTTCTGAGTTCTGCTTCTTTCCTCTTGGAAGCAAAATCCAGCAGCCACCTCTTTAATGAAGTATCTGCCTGCCCAAAAATCTATTAATAAAGATGAACTATGGTTAGAATCCTCATAGACTACCATTCCCTTTTTCTTACATATGCATGCATAGAGACTCTTAACAGAGAAAACCAAATAAATTAAAACAACCTTTATTGATAGGCATCTTAATTTTAGTAAGAAATACTTGAGCATTTTTATTTTGACCTCAATTCAAGAGTTGAAATCAGCACTTAACTAACTCTTGATATCCATCAAACTGTGTGATGTTCTTTCAATGCATAATTTCTTCATTAAAATGTATGAATCAAAATGGATGGTTTACTTCTCTATTCTAGTATCATCAAAATTCAAATTGAGCATAATCCTCAGCATTTTCTGAAAAGAACCCATAATACATCATGTAGCACAGGGTATTGTGAGGAGTTGCAGGTCACTTCAGAAACACCAAATAGAGTTCTGTCTTGCATATACAAATTTGCACTTTAGATCAATTTTCAAAGGCTCCTTCTAGTTGTTCTCAGGAAGCCAGAGAGCAGACTCAACAGCAACCCACACATCAGTATATTCATTTGGAAAGAGGAAGACTCAGCATTATGACTGAAAGCATGCAGACAGCAGCATTATGCCCCCCTGCCATGCCAATTCCCCAGCTTGCTGGGTTCATATGCTACCTTACTGCAAGGGTGGGTGAGGTTGAAATGGTGGTAAGCATTAGGGCATCAGACTAAACAAGCAAGAGGAAATCATGAGAACAAGTCCCAAGCCTTAACTTTGCTTCTCAAACTCCAGTAGAAAATGTGTGAGCAGAATAAGGAGCTACATTTTAAACTAAAAGCTGGTCTCAGGTTTTCTTCCCCTTCAAATGGATTCCAGCTGCACTATTTGTTATTGAGCCAAACAGGACCTTGTGTTACTTGGTGTTCCTCTAGCCTCATGGTCAGAGAAATGTCCTGGCTAAGACAGCATAGACAGCTCTGCCATTTCTTTAGCAGTCATAGGATTTATTATATCCTTTAGCTCCCCTGGCTGTATCCTAGAAGGATATACATATCTACACATATATACAAAAGGCCAGTTAAAATAAGAAGTTCAAGAAAGAATCTACTTCCAAATTCCTATCTCAGATGACCCTGAGCAGGCAAGCAGCACACACAGGAGAGTGGGACTACAGACACACCTTCTCTGCAGCACTCCTAATTGGCTGGTTCACAGTTCTCCCAGCTAGGGCACACTGGCAGCCATGTAGGAAATTTGTATGTGTCCATGCTAACACAGGCAAACACCTGACCTTGCTTTGCAAATTCCACTCTATGAGTCAGATGCTAAAAGCGTGGCATGCAGATGCCAAGCCTCATTTTCGTGTTGTAGACTAGACTTAAATAACTTGCTCAGAGCAAAACACTAAGTCATTAATCAAGATAGAGAGAATCAAGTCCCCTAGTCAGTTTTTTCAACACTGGTATTTGCTGCCTGAAAGTGTTTTAATGCAACCAGTACTATTCTCAGTACATTAAGCTCTCCTTTAGAAAGCAATATACACATTTGTTAGCATGCCAATTTGATATCCCAGGGCACAGTAGTTACTCCTACGCTGGCAGCACAAACTTTTTGGAGTCTCTTAAAAGTCTGCACTCATGCCTGTAGACTTACCTTGTCAAACATTCTGTTCAACAGTCTTGGTACTACAGGAAATACAGTTGGCTGAAGTGTTTTTAGATCATCCATGAGTAGCCTGATATCCCCTTGGAAGAATCCTATCCGGGCTCCATGGCACAGAACCACACACTGTTAGAAAAAAAGTAAACACTCTGAAAATGCAGAAGGTACAATGTGTTCCAGCTCTGTATGTATAACAGTCTTATGCAGCCTTAAATCCTCTCAACTTCTGGACTAGTTTTCCAGCAGTCTCACACTCTTAAGATGGCACTAAAAAGACTAAGTAGCAATACACATCTGGTGTACACAAACCAGACTTTCAAGCTTAGAATAAAAGCCTTGATCCAAAAAAGGGCAGTTGGTCAAATAAGGCAATACCACTGAGTCAAGAGGTAGCAAAAAACTTGAAAAGAAAGCTTTTCCCTTTGAAATATTTGGCAAACTTATTTAAAAATATTAGACTTATTTTTCCCCTGCTTAATACCTAGAAATTCTGTGTTTATAGTCAGCACATGCTATTTACTAGGCCAGTGAGGATTTCTGTCTTGTGCTACTTCACTTCCCCTCCTTGCACTCTGGTTTTCCTTCTCATTTCACAGGACTGATGTAAGCAGAGGTTCTTAAGTGATCAAGATGATATTTAGAAGATTCTATAAGAACCAGAGCTTATTTCTGCATCACTTCAGACACAAAGTTAGGCAGACTTAATCCTGTTGTGTTGTATATTTTCTGTCTAGAAGCTTCACCACCAACCTTATACCCCTCCCTTTATATTCCTATTTTTTTTTTTACTTCTTAACATTTCTCCTCTCCTTGTGTTTACAACTACCTACTTTTATTTATTCTGCTTCCTCTGTAACACCCATCCCTTCATTCCCTACTATCCATCCTCTTATTTGCTGCATGAGACATTCTAAAGTGTCACTTTCCCCATCCACCTATATTTTGCCACCATCTGCTAAAAGCGGCAAATATATCAGTCCATATGGACTGAGCAGCAACTGCCTTTACTAGGTAGGAACATGTTTGTCAAGTCAAGTTCATTGACCCTCTAACTTCCATATGATGCTAAATCCAAGGAAACATCAACTTTAAAACAGAACTGCAAAGACTGGTTCTCACAAAGCCTGTGTTCATATCTACCCCAAACAGCAAGAAATCTTTTCTCCTTTCTACCAGTAATGTCTTGGTTAATTTTCTTATGCAGGCAGCTACACCACTTATTTTGTACAAGCCTCAACCAGCAGAGCAATACTGCAATCCAAACAGTCTTTTCATTGTTTATTTTAAAATCCAAGTTCCTATCCTGTTTCTACTGCATAATCAAGAGCAGAGCTGTCATCTACAGAGCTTGTATGTTCTGGTGCTAGACAGGGGAATTAAAACAGACACTGAGGTACAACTGATGTCAAGGTGACCAGGAAGAAAAAGTACTGAATGCCCAGGGGCACCTGTAGCCCTCAGTTGTGTACTATTCCAAATCTCTCTAGCATATATACACACACACAGCAATCTCACCTGAGGAAAAGGTGTTAATTCAACTTCAATAAGTAATTAATACAAGAACTTCTTACATACTGTAGAGGCACAAGGGAATTGCATCCATTCAATAATGCATAGCACCCAAAATGGGCCCAGAGGTCTTCTTCAAGAGTGACAGCATTAATACAACTGCAGCCCTCTCATTCTTAAAGATTAAGCCTCAGATTTTGCTATATGGTAAAACAAGTGATCCAAGAGAACTTCTAAGTTTGTCATTGAAATGGCTTTAAAAGCCACTTCCATTTCCTGGAAGAAAATTCCACTGAAACAAAATCCCTTCCTCTTCGCTGAAATTTCTTGAAAGCAATGGTGACTCCAAATTAGTTTTGTGTAAGCAAACAAGATATCTCCTTATAAAACAAATTTTTGAAGTTTGCAGACTAAAAAATGGCATGGATTTTTAATAATGCACTAATTGTATTGGAGGGAATTTCTAGTGTACATGTGCTAATTGCCTCATGTTCTAGTAAACCAATTTCTTCTTAACCCTTGCTCTAAGGTTAATGTTTATATTTTGGCATGAAAACCAGTAGTCTAGTGTTAACTATGTACTGTTTATGGGACACTGCTTTCCTGAGCCTTATTTCAAGCTTTCACACACATTTGCAAGAGTCAAGAAAGAAGACCATGTTTCACCTGCATGCATTCTGTAAGAAAAGTAAGCTTCTCAATAATTTAGTACAACAAACAGATGCTTACCTCAACAATTCTCTCAAACATATGAGCCAGGGGCAGGAATGATATCAGAACATCATCAGTGGAAGGTGTGAATGATTTCTGGAAGTGTTAGCAAAAGTTTAATTCTCACTGAGTCTCTATTTTGCCCAAGTTAAACACAACTATAAAATCTAGCATCTGAACTCTAGAGCACAGCCCCTGCTTCAGTTTTGTTTGTAATGAAGTTTCATTGTTTTTCTTTCATTAAAAAATTACCAGCAATGACTTACTAGCATGAGTAAAGACACAGCAGAAACAATAATCTTTTTGAATTGAGTACAGTGACTAGATTATTGCAACTTGTCATACATAGAATTCTGAAGAGAAATAAAATCTGATAGAAATCATAGAATTCCATTACATATATTGGGAGGGTAGGGGAGCAATAGAGATTAAAATACTACTGGTTTGAAAACATGCACTTTCATCTTAGATTAGTAAATTTGTTTATCCCATTTACCCTAAGGTTGATATCAAAAGTACCTCACATGAGCTAATTGTGAGACAGTTGTTTAATTTAAAAACAGTACTCCTTGCACTAATGAAAAACACTATAAGCCCATGGCAGAATGTAATGCACATTCACATCAGGATCATTATATCACATTGCTTACATCAGAACAGACTGGAAATCTGTTGGGCTCTTGACCCTGACAGAATAACCAGTAAACACTGACTTCTGACTAGTGGGCACAGGGTGCTGTCAAGTTACATTTTCACTTGGATCTTAGTAAAGCTCAAGACCAAAGATTTCAGTATTTGTTTTGATCATGAAATTATTTCTCCCCGAGCAAGAACACAATGTTTATCTTTTCAGTTTACCTCTGTAGTTTTCACAAAAGCTGAAGCATTGCTGACTATGTTTTGATGAGTGATCATAGCTCCTTTAGGGTTTCCTAAGGAAGAAAGACATCAGGATTCAACAGTGAAATTCAGATCCCTGAAATTAAGGTAGCAGAGGCAAAACTAATGTGATAGCATTCTTTGATATTAATACATTTCTTTGTGTATAAATTAAAATTCTGTCAAGAACAGCTGGCAACAGTTAAGTAATCAGTTTGTGATGAAGTCTTATAACTTTTTAAGGAACCCAAAGATGCAGCTACCAAATTCAGATTAATTTCTGTTCTCACATCTGTTTTAAAATATGTTGCTTGCTGCTGTATTCTTTCCTTATGCTCCATGCCAGTGGACATGAATTTCACAAATGTTAAGCAAGTAGCATCTAGACAGTCTGTTTTGATCTTACAGCAAGGTTGCTTAGACCTATGGAACAACTTTGCTGATAAAGTAAAAAAAAAATACTATGGAAGAATTGATAGTCTGAAGTCTGATACAGAGCCCTTAATATCTAAACACAAATTCATTATTTATTTCTAAGTCCAAAAACATAACACTCCCCCAATACTGCATCTCAGTATTAATATGCTGTAATGCAGTTAGGAAAATGGTATGGCCCAAAAAGTGTACCCCTGAAAATGTAGACTTGTAAGTTTCTTTCCCTTATCTTGTTCTCCCCAGTTCCCCTTATTGGTTGTTCCCCAGTTCCCCTTTCCCCAGTCTTGAAAAAGGACTGCTTATTGATACCTCTTGCTCTTTCCCTCCTGCATCTCACCCCGAAGGATCCCAAGAAATAAAGCTGTAACTTCATCTCAGCAAAGGGAAAGAGCTCATTTTTAGGGTCTTCTTGGCAAGCTGATCTACGTCCCCTGCCTCCCTGGCTGCTGCGGGGCGGAGGGGCAGGGTAGCAGAGGGGCAGGGGACACTAGAATTTTGGCATTAGTAAATGGGGAAAAAAATTAAAAATCCAAAGCAACTTTATCATAACACTACCCCAGCTACTATTTGCCAAAAACATGCAACAGCAGGAGGATATCTTGGGAAAAAAAAAACCAAAAACCAGTAGTAGAAGGGCTTCTGAATTAATTTTGCACATACAGAATAATAAATTCTATATAATGTAATGAGGTGTACCTGTTGTTCCACTGGTGAAACAGATGACTGCTAGATCTTCTGGCTTTGGAGGCTATGAGAGTTAAAAAAGTATTAGCATGGTTAACACAGCAAGGAAAAATATTTTCCTGGACAAAATATCAGGATACTAGTGTTATTTCTGAGCTATGGGAGATAGGGAAATTTGCTAGTGTTATCTAAAGAATGCTAACCAGCTTCACATTGTCACTTGAACCAATTTCACACTTACCATAGGTTTTTGCCTGTGTGCTCTTCCTAGTTCCTACAGAAAGGAGAAAAGACAAAGTGTAGACATAAGAATGTAGCTTTCTTGATTTAAATTTATCAAACATAACTAAACACCATAATACTTCATAATGTAGACTCTCTCAAGGCATTTTAACTTGTTTAGCAATCCAGTGCAACAATCCCTGCCCATGGCTGCAGGGTGGATGTAAGGTTCCTTCCAACCAAACCATTCTGTGACTCTCTAGTGATTGTAAGAGTAACAAAAGCTTTAAAGCACATTTCAAAAATACATAGAATAACTACCATGTTCTACAAATACAAAAATGATAACTTAGCTAAAACTCACAGGGCTTTTCTGCAGCTAGTAAACTGGAAGTCACTCACTAGGGAAGTTGAAGGTTATGGTAAGACAACAATCAATCCTATACCTCAAGCAGAAGATGTGCCACCAACAATTATTAAATAAATGAAAGAAAATTCATCTCAGCAAGCACCTCCAAGGAAGACTGAGTTTCATTGCTGGTTTGAACTCCTTTTACACAAGAGAAACTCTCATCCAGAGCCCTTCTTCCTCCTTAGTTACTCAGAGCTGACCACTAATGTTAGGGTTCTTTAGACAGAAGAGAAAGGATATGAAAACCAAGGATATAGCAAATAAAAGGAAATATTTGCAAGCCGATGTTGAGTATCTATAAGCTTTAAAGTTTCAAACCAAGACTTAATACTGTCAGGCCTATTTAAAATTAGAAACAATACTAGATTAAGAGCTTATGCAAATTAAAGAGGACCTTCTGTTAAGCATATCTTTGGAAGTACCCTTTGAGGGCGGACATCAACTTCACCACTGCCTTTACATTCCAGGTAACAATAACAGCATATGCATTCCTTTGAGCCCTAGATTTCTTTAAGTATCATGTACCTCTTAGATTTACCCAAGGAGGTTGAAGACAAAGGGAATGTCTGGAAACACAGTTAACATCCCCATACCTGTAAGCTTGCCTTTTTGAAAGGGTGCATTATGCAAAGATTTACCACTATGGCAACATAGCTGTCTGATCAAAACAGCACCTCCATTTCAAGTACCACCAGAAGCTCAGTACCTCCCTATAACCTGCTTTGAGTAAAATCTGGGATTTACTGAATATACAGCTAAAATCACCAGACACTTGTTTTGATCTCTTAGAACAAAACTCCACCACCTCTTCCTGTTAAAGAGCCATTTATTCAATAATTGTTGGTGGCACATCTTCTGCTTGAGGTATAGGATTGATTGTTGTC